CAAATCCCATTTAGCTGACATTCTCTCTACTGGGAAGCTCCCAATTCCTTTTGTACTGTCCTTGACTTCTTAGTTCTGATTCATTGTTCATTCCTCAGCTTAGATTTCACTGTTCCTCAATTCGTCCAGTCTTGTATGTCAGTGCATTTCTTCACTGAAGCACTATGGGAAAACATCTATTTTGATGGGAAAACATCTAGTTTGATGGGAAAACATCTATTTTCAAGCAAAAATCTTTCTATAAACTCAAATACATGACACAGAGGTGTGGAGTTGTTCTGTTGGTGAAACCGCAGAAAATTTGAGGTTACCCGTGCTCAGTCTCCTCAATATCTGAGGATGGCCTCTTGAACACTTGGAGAGAATGTTAATATCTTTTAGAATACATCTGAACAAAAAGTGTAGCACAGTAGAACTAACACCTAATTGAGCTCCATGGTTCACTGAACTATACTATCCAAGAGGGCAGGAACCATGTATATTCAATTCATAATTTGCTAGTTAACCAAGCTTATAGCACAATATTTAGCAGATCAGGATATATAACATGATCACTTAAAAAATGATCAATAGCCACAGTGGATGTCATCAGCAGAGTTCAGGATAAAGACATGGCCTTATGCTACCTTTTATCTTTAGAAGTCACTCCACATCATGCAAAGAATAACAGGAAAGCAGATAGTTTATATATTTACTTCCACCCTAAAAGTGAATCCTTGATGAAAAAAGTCAACATATTACTTAAGTAACACATTATAGATGATATAGAAATGCCCTATGCCTGGTTCACCTAAAATAATTTCTTATTTTAATAAAAAAGAGATCTTACTAAGATATTCAGGAACTGTCACTTTTACATTAATCAGATCGCTTCGGCCAGAAAGTTCAAGAGTAAATTGCAGTAGATGATTTGCATTATGACTCAGCTCTCAGGGTCAAAGACAAAATCTGCATAACCTTCCAGATCTTAGAATGATTTGGCTCTGAGGCCACACAGATTCTGGCTCCTGCCTGGCAGCATGCTAATACTTAGGATTGGTCGTTAGCAATCAGTGATTCTGTGGGCTTTGCTTCATTGTTCAGCCCTATTGTTCTAAAGCAGTACAGGATTGCTTTCATTGACTGAAGAGTAAATTCTGTAAACAAAAATCATTGTCATTCAATGAACTGAAAATGGTCACTTCTGTAACTCTTAGTGGCATCCTCCACTTTATAGTGTCCAGACACCTGGCTAAACACACTCCCTAAAAAAGGCTCAGTTATAGAATAACACTCATGGCACAGGTCAAAGTCAAGTTCCATTTAAAATATTTCATTGCCTCTGTACATTCTAACATTGTGACACTTTAAAATCTTCAGATTTACACAGAAAACACAGCACAGAAGAACATAAGATTTAGACAGTATTCTGAATCTGAGCTTCAAGACCCCTTAAAAATAATGTGTTTATAGTGTCTTCTGTTTTCTTGTCTTCCTTTTAACTTTGATCTTTGCACCAAGGTCAATAAGCTGTCACCAAAGATGGCAATAGAAAGCCATGTTCTTTAATAAATAAATTTGACTGCTTTAAAATCTGAGACAACATAATTGCAAAACTGCAGACATGTCAGTAGACAGTGACAATGTAACAGACAACCTCAAGTCCTGACATATTGACTGAACAGAACAAAATTTAGACTCATTTGCCACCAACACGTACGCTTTCTGAAAGCAACAACAACAAAAAAAGAGTGCATCTGTATTCTCAGTGCCTTATACAACTACATTTTAAAATAAAGTAATGTTCTCAATTAACTTCTACTTTTCCACTTCTTGATCTGTACTCCAAACAGCCCCCCACATGTGTCCAAATGCTATTAAAAAATCACCAACTATATAGCCACTAAAAATAGACACATAAACACAACTGTTGAATCTAGGTTTTTCTCTCTTGTTCAGAGGCTGAGATGTATATCAAATTCAACCAGTTTGAGCAAGGATCCATAACAAACATGAAACAGAGACATGTATTCTTTACAAACACTGTGAGTTACTATATTTTTATGTTTTTCTGCTCTCAACTTTTCCTCCTTGAGACTGGAACTACATTCAATCATCCCTCACCCGCTTCTGTGGGCCACTTTTAGCCACTATGCTGGTGGAAAGACTCTGCATCCCACTGCAATAAGAATACATTGTGATGCTGTATTCTGGGATGTGGGAGATAACAGCATGCCAAAATCCAATAATAGAAGATGACTATCATTTAGCAACCCCAACATCGTATAGCTCCATGTCATTTCCTAACTGCAAGTGTTATATTGAACTATTCAATAAAGCAGAACTAAAACAAGTGTTTACGTTAAGCTGGATGGGTCCAACATAGCTCACGTCCTGCCAGCACACCTGCCTTCTGGGTCTTCTTTTGTCGCCAATATTAGGCCACAGTTAACAAGGTCAACATGAACAAATGGGCAACATTTATTCATAAATGAAGTATGAAGACAGTTCACATGCATAAAAGGGTCACTCAAGGTTTTGTGTATGATTTCCAATAATTCATAATCTAAGGGTCATCTCTTCTAAAGACCTTAAGTCTTTATGTTCTATATTTACCTGGATTATATTCCCCATCTTTGTCATCCTACATTTTACATTGTGTCTATCTAGTAAGATACTGCCTTCTTTAAGGAGACTTTAGGGAACCAGGGGAAAACACATTTAAAAAGCTTAAAACCAGAACAAGCAATTGATAAATTTTTCAGTTCTTTCCTTCTCCCTGTTAGCTCACTCATTGTCATAAGGCCTTCTAAAGATACTATTCTTTTACTGAAGCTCTGAGGAAACGTTTCTCAACCTTTTCTTTAAGCCAACACCCTTAAAAAATGCTTTTAGTCCTTGCTTTTTCCATCTTTCTTCTCTCTCCGCAATATCAGTACCATAGATATATGATGCAGGAACGGAAAACAGCTGGAATAGCTAAGATATTTTCACTACTTAAGATCCAATCTTATGCCTATGGAGGCAATATTTTCTTCTTCTCAGGATGTATGCTCATTTTGGAAAAAACAGTTGCTTGGAAATTCTCCAAACTAATATTCCATTGTAAGTGTTAATTATTTTGCTTTATCTAAATTAATGTTTAGGTCTAACTGCTTTTTCATTCTCCTTAGTCTTGTTTCTAATATGTAATTGATATGGAAGATGATATTAAGCAATCTAATAAAACTGTGTGTGTGTATTTGTACTGTTAGTAACTGCGAAAACAACTTTAGCTCAACTGTGAAGAAATTGAGGGTAGATCTGAAATTTTTGATGAAGCATTGTATCTCCCATATAGGCAATGTATACCTATAAAGTTTTAAAAGTGGAAACTAAAGTAAGATTGTTCCCTTTCCAAAAATAGAAAAACAACAGAGTTTGGTTTTAGTCAGCATTTTGGACTAATGGCAATGCTTACATACTTTTCATAATCTGTCCTTGGCTTCTTGTAACTGGTACTTAGGAGAGTAAGGATTACAAAATTACAGCCATGAAGTCATGCAAATTATAAGCAGCATTTTACTCCATGCAATTGAAAGGGCATATCAAGAAATTAACTAGAAGATCTGTGATCCCCAGTGGAAACATTAAAAGATAAAACCATAAAAATGAGGTTTAAACCTACCTCATATTTTTAAGTTTAGTAAAACCGTTTTGCTTTAAGAGGACAGATTTTCAACACTTAAATGCTGAGATATTTAATATAAAACATTATTACAAAGTGACTGTGGCTTCCTATTTCACTTCAAGAGACTAACTACTTTTTCCAAAGTCTGCTAACTACTTTTCCAGAGTCTACTTGTCATAAAGTGCTGTTTTTCTTCCTTCAAAGTTCAAAACTCTTCTGGTGGATTTCAGGTGAACAGTGTACCAAGAAAGAAACTGATCAGGCTATAAGGTGGTTTATACGAACTTACCAACTCAGAGAGTTTAACATTCCTAGCCAAAGTGACACTATTAAGAACAGCTGTGTGTGTGTGATACTATTTGAAACAAGCAAGAGTGAAAACACTGAGATAGGAAGAAACCAAAAGTCAAAACCAAATGGGTCAGTTCAGATCCACGGGAGTAACAGCTGCAAATTGTTGGTAACATCAACTGCAGCTGGGAATTGAAGAACAAACCAACTTTGGATATCAGTGCAGGCCCCAGAGAGCAAATAAACTCAATTTTGAATCCCTGGGACCAAGTGACCCAGGTGTCCTGCAGAGCAAAGGAAAACAAACCTGCCTGCTGGAGACCTGGCTTAGGATGGCTGCTTCAGTAGCTGGATTCCTTGCAAACAGTTGGAACGCCTCCAGGGCGAGGAAACTAACAGCTGAAGCCAGCTCCCCCAGGGCACAGAGCTGACTCCAAGGCTCCAGGCCCCCAGACCCCAGAGTTTCTGAGCCAGGCTCAACTCCAAAGGGAAAGTCACTTCAAGGGCTGAGAGGGCAGCGCCTGCCCAAGACTGTGTCCTCAATATAAATAATGTATAAATAAATTGCCACTTGGCTCCAGGTACAATCTCTCCAGTGAGTCCCATCATTCTCCATTGTCACATTAAAAAAAAAAAAAATCAATCATTCATTCAACCAGCTAAAGAATACCACTGTAGAGTCCCTTTACCTACCACAAAGGGCTGATCTTTCAGGTTAAGAGCTTGACTGGGGGGCAGCACTGCCTACAATTTTCTGCAAGTCTGGGATGAGGAGCTGCATCCTGACAGCTGAGACTAATGAACACCAGAAAGGCTTCTCCGGGGGTGCAGCGAGATGACCACCTGTCTTGTCCTTTTCCACCCGCACACGTCCACTTCTCCTCACTCCCATCCCACCACAAGGGCACACGAGGCAAGCGTAAGATTCCACCTACCCTGCACCGGACGTTCAGCCTATGTTCATATAAAAGATTCCAAAAGGAGGAAACATACAAGCAGAAACAACGAGGAGAACAGCAAACACTACTTTTTAAAAATTAAATTAAAAAGCGTCTCTTACCATCTCGCCTGAGATTGGCGTTGCGTAAAGCTCTGATGGATGTGCTCTGAGGAGTGGCCGAAGTGCAGAAGTTTACGCAGACTAGCAGATACACGAAGATGAGCCGGTGCATTTGGGACAGGCGACCTAGGGTCAGTGCCGCTCTGAGAAAAAGCCGCGTTCCGCTCCCGGGACACACGCCGCGTGCTACGGTGCAGCTCGCCCCGCGCTAGCCGGAGCCGCCTCGCTAGTGGCCGAGCTCGCCCCAAACTTCCTGCATGCTGAACTTTCTGAGCGCCTGTGGGAGCCGCACTTCCTTGTGCTGGTTCTCAGAGTTGATAAACGGTGACGGGACAAACAACAGGTTGACGTTGGTTTGCCCCCTCCCGGTGGCCAGCGGTCGCAGCACAGGCTGCAGGCAGCGGGCGGCGCCGCGTCCCGCCCGGCCGGCGAGCGCCTCAGGGGCGTCCTCCCACCGCGATGGCTGAGGCGGCCGAGGGGCTGAGGCGGCCGAGGGGCTGAGGCGGCCGAGGGGCTGAGGCGGCCGAGGGGCTGAGGGGCTGAGGCGGCCGAGGGGCTGAGGGGCTGAGGGGCTGAGGGGCTAAGGGGCTGAGGCGGGTGAGGGGGCTGAGGAGCTGAGGGGCTGAGGCGGCCGCCCACCCCCGCTTGGCTCCGCTGGGAGCAGCCGCGCGAGCACACGGTGGCGCAAGGCCCGACCTGCTGTGGTACCACTGAGCATGCCCAGCTTGACAAGGGGCCAAGATTCTCATTGCCCTTGGCTTTACCTTTTGTTGTGGGACCAGAAAAGGAATTGGGGGCTGGGGTGGCAGCGAGTGGCCATGAGGAAGTGAGAGCAGATAGAGTCATCAGAATTCCTTCAGAATTTCTCGCCCTCTTAGAGGACACGGGCCTTGGCTCTGTGGATTGGGGTTTGAGGAGGGGCCTTTCTTTTTCAGTAATCACAGTAAGCATTCCACTTGGTCAAATGTGTTCTGTATCTGTGGTGGGAAAAAAAAAAAAAAAAAGACTTGAGTCCAGATTTGTCTTTGGGCTCCTAGCACTGTGACCTTAGATGTGGCAAAAATAACGTGTGGAGGCGAGGAGGTGAGGATAAATACTTCATTCTCTGCACAGGGTGCATGATGGTAGCCCAAAATGGTGAAGTGTAATGGAAGAGCAGCTATATAACAAGGATGTTTTCACACACCCCCTCTTTCCTAGTACAACACAGGGGGCTGGAGGGCTGGAGGTCGGGCGGAGTTGAGCAGAGCCAGACTGGACAAGGTGAATGAGCCACCTGACAACCTTGAGCTCCTTTGCCTTCGCTGTCCATAGAAGGAAGTGGGAGCCCATTACCGCCTGTGGAATATTCCTTTTCTATCATCTGAAAGCTCGACAGTCCAGAGGGGCTGCCTCTGAGCTCCAGAAACTTCTACACCATTGCATGACTCTATCCTCCTAGCAAAATGCACCACCTAGAACAAATCGAGCCTCTGCAGTGTCAGTTTCTCCTCCTGTTTACAAAATGAAGCCTCAATTCTTAGTCTGTAAGACTGTGGTGAGTGTGATATATAAAAAAACAAACAAACAAACAAACAAAAAACCTTCGGTCCTTTGCCTTATTTGTAATTGAATCCAAATCCAAATTAATGTAATTCTCGATTTTGCAATGGGACCTATAAAGAAAATTTCCACTCTTTTTAAGGCTTTCAGCTCCTGGAAGTCTGCAGCAAAGGAAATCGGTACTACCCATTTATAGGGAAATACAGATGGCCGAGAGGGATAGGAATTGCAAAAGTTAATGGCTTGGACAAGTTATTATACAACCAGCAGTCTTCTTCTTCAACGCACTCGGAGATCCATGTTTCATGTCTACTGGCATTTTGATCTAAATATGTAATAAAATACTGGCATGTGGATCATAAAACCAAGTTTAATACAAGCATTATTTTATCAAATATATAGAATGGACTATGATAATATTGTCTCATTAATATTTTGTTGTTTATATACTCATGTTCAGACTAGCACATTTATCAATGTAAAAGATAGCTGTAAAGTATGATTTTATATAAAGTCATTGCAAAAAAAAAAGATCTAATCCTATTGTTTCAAAATATAGCCAGTTACGCAAGAGGCACTCAGGAGAGAGACCTACATTCAATCATTTATTCATGAACTTTTTTTTTTAACTTGAAAAGCTGAGTGATAGAGACCCTCAGCTGGAAAGGGAGCTCTCCTGCCCTGGCTCACTTCTGAAAGACCCACAAGGGCTGAAACTGGGCTGGGACTAGAACTGGAAGCCAGGATTGAATACAGACTCCCTTGTAGAGGGCGAAATCTTCCTAACTTGAGTGTTGGCAGCAAGCTGAAGCCAGTGCAGAGTCAGAGCCAGGAACTAAACCTCGGTATTGTGCTGTGGGATTGAGACATTAACCCACTAAACTGGATGCCTGTGAACTATTCAACAACAATTCATGAAGCATTAGCTATTCTCTTGTGTCATGTCCTCATCTAAAAATCTTGGGGATAAAATAGTGAATAAGTGAGGCAAAGGGTCTAATTTCTTCCAGCTAACAGGCCAATGCAGAGCAAGCATAAACAAGTAAACTCATCTATATTCATAAGAAAGGAGATTGATAGGGAAAAGTATTGGCCAATTAAAATATTTGCCATGATCTTTAGAAGTGGTTGAAATTACTTAGTAAATTTATATTTTAAAACACCTCAGGCAAAGTATTGTTATCCAAGATGCCCGCAATGTGCACTATAAGGCATTGTGAATTGATAAGGGCAAATATTTCAGATGAGAAGAATAAATAACATCACATAAAATGAATATTATTACTGATCACTAATGTAAGCAGATAAGCAAAACACATGAAATTAGACAACTGAAATAATCTGAACTTTGTTTTCAATAGACACATTTTAATTTCTATAAATTGATCATAACAGCTAAATTATTATACAACAGAATAGGTTGTTAATGAAAATAGATTTTTTGAGGAAAAGCATGGCATTAAGATAAAAATTTAATACATATCTTAAATTAACCCATCAAAAATTGAGTTTGCCTATATATTTTAAATGCCTATAGGTCCGTTAAAAGCACACGATAAACATAATGAAATCAGATTTATAAATACTTTTTATCATTGAAACTAATATAAACAAGCTATTCTACATTTAGCTATTGTTCAAAGACATTTATATAACAAAAGTGAATATATTGCTTAAAAATCAATTTTAAAAACACTACGAGAGAAACCTATATATGTAGACCTACATATAATGGAATCCCTACCAAAGAGATTATTCTGCCAGTCAGGATTTGGCTAAAGAATGCTAGGTTATAGCACTATTTGTATCACACACTCTCCTTACGCTGACAGGGCCTACCAAGAGTATTTTCTGAAACCTTTTCAAATATTCTTGGCTGTTTTTTGACTACTCATCAAAGCCACGATGAAGGAAGAAATATGGTGCAAATTCTTCTGTCTTTTCATTTCTTTTTGGTTTTAAAGATTTATTTATGTATTTATTTGAAAGGTGAGTAATTGAAGAAGGAAAGGCAAGGGTAGAGAAAGAGAAAGAGAGAGAGAGAGAGAGAGAAAATGAGTGTTGCATCTGCTGCTGTAAGGACTCTGCCCTGGTTGAAGCCAGAAGCCCAGACTTGCTCCAGGTTCTCCCAGGAGGGTGCAGGGGCCCAAGCACTGGACACATCTGCTGCTGCCTTCACAGACACGTATTCAGGGATCTGGATCAGCAGCGGAAGAGCTAAGGCATGGACTGACACGCATAGGGGATTCAGGCACTGCTGGTGGTAACTTAATCTGGCATGTCACAATGGTGGCTGTAGTCTTCATGTCTGCAAAAGGCTCACTATACTTTTCTTTCTTTCCTGCCTTTTCGCCTTCCTTCTTTGCTTCTTTCTTTTGTTCTTTTCTTTTACCTACTCTGTTCATCTTTAACTTGCAGCTTTTAATATCTTCCTCTTCATAATCCATGTTCTTTTACAAAATCTATGTTTTTTCCCCCCGAGAGGGCATTCCATTATTCCTCTTGCAATAATTATTTTAAAGATTTATTTATTTTTATTGGAAAGTTTGTGTTCTAGAGAGGAGGAGAGACAGAAAGGGAAGATTATCTATCCACTGGTTCACTTCTCAAGTGACCACAAGACCAGATCTGAGCTGATCCGAAACCAGGAACCAGGAGCTTCTTCTTGCTCTTCCACACAGGTGTAGTGTCCCAAGAGCTGTCCTCAACTGCCTTCCCAGGCCACAAGCAGGAAGCTGGAAGGGACACAGGGCTAGCAGGACATGAACCGACACCCATATGGGATCTTAGTGCAAGGAGAAGACTTTAGCTACAAGGCTTTTACACCAGACCCCTCTGGTAACTATTAAATACCGTAAAAGCATTTTGACAGGGCATCCTAGTGTTTTCACTAACACTAGGCTATCGAACATAGTCAATAATGGCTTTCCTAAGACTTCAATCTCTCCCTGCAAAATGGCAGTGTTTTACGAGGTCACCTTCAAGATTTCTTTCCAAATTCTCAATATTTTGTCTAACTTAACAAAACTGCCCTCACTCATAATTTTCACCATCCACCAACTATGTAACTTTATCAAGGCACATACTGAATATGTCCTATAAAGACTGAAGAGAATCAGTGGTGGTAAGTTGCTTTTTCTTTGTGTGTTCAGACATACTGCTTTCAATTTTCTGAGTCCTAAATTGAATAGTAAGCCAACACTAACACATGTTCAGGTGTTTTCAATTTTTATTGTACTCTATAGCTTATATTGAAATACAGATGATGCCTACATATTACCACAACATACTGTCTAGACTTTTACATAAAAATGTCAAATACAACTTTCCCAACGATGGCGCTGGCATATTTTGAACAGTGACTTCGATATTTGATAATATAAGTCTTTTGTACAGCCTTTTGGAAGCAGGTATAAGCCAAATGAATGGGCTGTTGTCTTAAGCATCAGTTTCCCTTTACTTCAGTGAATTAGTTCGTGATTCAGCGGAATAAAGTAAGTAATTTATCATGTAAAAGAATCCCTTTATCTATAATTTTTCTTCAGCTTACTTATATTCTTTATTTCTGTT